ATTCTTCGTCTTTAGGAGAAAGAGAGGGTACGGACCCGTGAATAAACAAATTTCTGATCCTCAACAACAACCGTCAACTCATCAAATAAATTAATCATCAATCACTAATGACTTTGAGTCATTAAATTATTTCTCCGGTTAAAGTTATCATTATTATAATTAATACCACCGATTTTTGGATACTATGATTTTTTAATTGATAACAATCAAAATCAAAATCAAAATCCAAATCGTATGTGATTTAATCAATAATGTCTCAAGTCTCATTAATTCGTAATTGCAATTACTGTTGCTTCATGACTTAGAATCACTGGAATTCGTATGCAAATAGTGTTCACTCTTTGGAAACATTTAATATTATTATCGCAATTGACTTGTGCTGTCTGGAGTTAACTGACACTCTGAATGACTCTCAATAAATATTTCGCAGACAACTGCATCTGGAATTTTCACAGATTGGATTCACCAAAAATCGACAAGTACTTGGATCCCCCCCGAAAACAATCCACAGTTCAATTATTTTAAAATTGACACCCGAGTTGATCAATGCAATTAATTTTCATCAGCCTCTCCCCTAATTGTTCCCACACGTTATCAACGTCGAGTATCAAATTCAGTTACTCACCTTCATCAAGGCAAACCGTTCATCATCAGCCAGAGACTTCACCACATTATTCATGTTGTCAAAAAAAAATCTTACCACCCAGGACCAATAACTATCTACCACTCGTAAAATAGTCAATCAACCACGAATTTTCAAGTACGTATATTTATCGGTTAAACGTAAAGTGTCATTTTTTAAATGATGGACAAATTGATAGTCCAGTGATGACAGGCTGTTAACACCAGCACTGATACAGCTTTGGATATTGGAGCACTCGGGGATGAGTCTGTAACAAGTGGGACAGATCTGCTTTCACGAACGTATGATCACCAACTGCAAGATATAATGTTGAAGTCATTGGGTTTAAAGTTGCCCACCGATACAAGTGGAAATATGGGGGATCGAATGTAAGGTGAGAGACACCCAACGAGACCTCGACGTTCACTCATTCGCATTAGCATCGGCTAACGAGAAATGGATATTTGTTGACTTTTATCGTGTGCTATTGAACAACGCGAAAGTCAATCCAATTATTTCTATTATCAAAACACTTCACACCATATATCTCAAAAATTATAGTTTTTTCATTTTTCTGGATTTTTTCGAATTTTTTTTTAAGAATCACAAAATTGATGAGAAAATTCATGAAAATTCCAATTGCTAATTATTAATTTATTATTATTATT